GGCCTATGTCTATGGAGATTTGCCTTTGCATATAAAATTGATTCTCTGGAGAGTTTAGGCAACATGTAATATGTTCTTCCCGTGTTTGAAAACCCTGATCCCGTCTTCCCTCTCTGACCCACTGAAGTTCATTCCGTTAAGATGTTCTCTTTGAAAAGACGTTGTGCCATTTTCAGCAAAGTCCAGACTCCCCTGGGTTTCTCAAGCCCGGAAATGAAGAGATTCGTCTCCTTAGGATGATTTTTGAGGCAATCTCTTTCTCTGAGTTTGAAACTGTAGACTCTTGGTGTCTCGGGGTTTCTTCATCATAAGCAGGCTATTGTGAAGTCCTGTGAAAACACAGGTCCGTCCTTCCCTCCCACATCTGTTTGCTGTGAGGCTGGAACAACGGGGCGCCCGTGAGTGCCCACGTCCTGGACTGTGGGAAGGCTCTGTTGTCGCCGTCCATCATTTGTAGGTGACCTGAAGGTAGCTTCTTAGTCCTACTGAACGTAAAGAGTCTTCCTTGTAGAATTCTGTGCAGTGTAAGTGAAGAAAAATTATTCTTACCCCTTGTCACCTTGCCTGGTAGCTAAATTTCTCAAGTTCTGAAGAAGTCCATGGCCATATGCAAGGGGACTTCAAACAGTCGGTGGAAACATGGAATGAAAAGGGAATGGTTTTTTTTCTCCACCAACCTTTTGACATTCCCTTGTATCATTAGCCAGGTTGATAAAATGTTTGGGAGAAAAATTTCCTTTAAAAAAGAGAGAGAAACTTGTCATAGCATCTGGCCTCCTCTTAATCATTTGTTCGTTATTTTTATTAACTCGTAGTGAGTTTATTTCATACCTTTAAACCGGTGCACTGAGACAAAGGATTCACCACACTTAGTAATGGGACACCTAGGAAGAGTGAGATCCTCACCTGGTGTTGTGTTCTTCCTGTAGGATGAGATCCCCAGACATCGCTCATTATATGATCGTGTATTCCATTTATTAAAAGATCATGTTTGTAAGGGTGCTGAACATGCTATCAAAGGAGGCTTTCATTCTTCTCAGCTGAGCGTACAGTGGAGCCTGGGTGGGATAGTGGTTATGGGTTGGGCTGCGTTGCTCAAGGTCAGAGGTGCAAAGCCACCAGCCGCTCCCATAAAGAGTAACCATCGGGGAAAGCCACAGGGGCTTTCTACCCTGTCCTATAGTGTAGCCCCGAGTTGGAATGGGCTTGATGACAGTGAATTTGATATTTGGTCTTAAGAGGGGGCGGGGAAACACAACTGTATTAAATATTTGCATATTCCCAGTGCTGTTGGCCAGCACAGATGGTTTGGTACTGCTCATGTTGAGTACCTTCCATTGAGAGCGATAATGATCCTGCAAGTACATCAACTAGGGGATGATGGGCCACGGCTCTGTACCTCGGCCAGCAATAAGACGAGAAAGACGTTCTCAGCTAACTGTCCCTCTTTTTATTTAAGGTTTTCAAAACTCTAAAATGCCATTTTCTGACCTTCTAGGTCCCGCTGTAACACAGGACATCACCACGTATCACACGGTGTTTCTTTTGGCCATTTTAGGGGGAATGGCTTTCATACTTTTGGTTTTGCTGTGTCTCCTTTTATATTATTGCAGGTAAAGTTTTACCATTTTGGCAATGTCTTTTTTTAATTTAGAATCTCTGGTGCAAGCCTTGATGTTGAGGTCCCTTTGTTTTTTCTGCTTCCACGTTGAGACTTTTTTCTCTTGAGAAAAAAAAAACGATCTAAGAACTGAACATTCGTGATCTGAGTCGCAAGCTGAATGAACAGCAAGTGTGATGCGTGTTGTATATAACACTGCTTAGAAGGGGATTTGTGGGGAAGTGCTTGACAGTTATTATATTGGCATATGGTTCATTCAGAATATCCCTAAATGCTGATTGAGAGGTGATATTCCTAAGGACAAAGCAGAACTCTTCTTACTTTGATGCCATGCCTATTCAGTTCGCAAGAATGTTTATTACCAACTCTTAGGTAGTGCCTTTCGAATGAATTACCCCGCTGGATTTGGGGAAGCCTGAGGATAGAAACTTCCAGATTTTGCCCTGAATTAAAATTAGGAGGAGGGCAAGTGGGGTAAGAAGGCTTCTAGCTATCGCTTATTTCTTTCTTGGGGTTTTTTGATTGTTTTGTTTCATTTTCCTTTCGAAAACTGAGAATTAGGATTTTGCTTGACCCTTTGCGAATATGAGAATCTTTCATCTTTGGGTTTGAACTCTGTTTTGGATCACAGGAGGAAGTGTCTAAAACCTCGCCAGCACCATCGAAAACTGCAACTCCCGCCAGCCCTAGAGAGCTCCAAGAGAGACCAGTCGACTTCTATGTCACACATAAACTTGCTCTTTTCTCGTCGAGAGTCTGAGTTCCCCGGTACGCTGTCTGTCACCAGCCACGGCCGCTCGGAGGCGCCAGGCTCCAAGGAGCTCATGAGTGGGGTACATTTGGAGATGGCGTCGTCCAATGGAGAAGTTGATCTGCACACCCCCATGCTAAAGCTTTCCTACAGCACCTCACAAGAATTCAGTTCTCGGGAGGAACTTGTCTCTCATAAGGAAGAGGATAAAAGCCAAATCTCCTTTGATAACCTGACCCCCAGTGGGACACTGGGGAAAGACTACCGTAAGTCTGTGGAGATTTTCCCCTTGAAGTCGAGAAAGCCCCTGGAGAGAGATGGCTATGAGACCCGTGGCAGTGACGACTGCAGGAGGAGTTACAGCGCCATGCTCTCACAGCCTCTGTTCGAGAAGCAGGACAGAGAAGGCCAGGCGTCCACCCGCCATATCTCCACAGGGAGTAAACTCACCATTCAGGAACCCATGTACCCCACGCCTTCATCTCCTGAAAAAGAGCAACTGCTGGACCGCAGACCTACTGAATGTATGATGTCCCGGTCAGTAGATCACCTTGAAAGACCGACGTCTTTCCCCCGCCCCGGCCAGTTGATCTGCTGTAGTTCCGTGGACCAGGTCAACGACAGTGTTTACAGGAAAGTCCTGCCTGCCTTGGTCATCCCCGCTCACTACATGAATTTGCCAGGGGACCATTCCTATGTCAGCCAGCCTCTGGTCGTCCCAGCTGACCAGCAGCTGGATATCGAAAGACTTCAGGCGGAACTTTCCAATCCTCATTCAGGGATCTTCCCACACCCTTCATCTCAGATACAAACCCAGCCTTTATCCGCCCAGGCCATCTCCCAGCAGCACTTGCAAGAGGCAGGCGCCAGAGAGTGGAGCCCCCAGAACGCCTCCATATCAGAGTCCCTGTCCATCCCAGCCTCCCTCAACGAGGCAGCGTTGGCTCAGATGAACAGTGAGGTTCAGCTGCTGACAGAAAAGGCTCTGATGGAACTCGGCGGGGGGAAGCCACTTCCTCATCCCCGGGCATGGTTCGTCTCTCTGGATGGAAGGTCCAATGCTCACGTTAGACATTCGTACATTGATCTCCAAAGAGCTGGAAGGAACGGGAGTAACGATGCCAGTTTGGATTCTGGCGTAGATATGAATGAACCCAAATCCGCCCGCAAGGGGAGAGACCCTTTGTCTCTCCAGCAGAGCCACCCCCCTGTCCAGGAGCAGCCGCAGAAGGAAGCGCGTGCCCCCGACAGCACCGCCTACACGCAGCTCGTGTACCTGGACGACCTGGACCAAAGCGGCAGCGAGGCGGGGACAACGGTCTGCACCCCCGACGACAGTGCCCTGCGATGCTTGCTGGAGGCCTCCAGTCGGAGAAGCGGCCAGTTGCCCAGCCTGCAGGAGGAGACCACCAAACGAACTGCGGAAGTCCCGCTGGAGCCATTGGGCAGCCCCGACGACAGAAGGTCTGCTCCCGAAGACGAGGAGGAGGACGATGAGGATGACGACCAAGGTGAAGGCAAGAAGAGCCCCTGGCAGAAACGCGAAGAAAGACCCCTGATGGCATTTAACATCAAATGAGCCGTCCGGGAGCCACCCGCCGTGGAATCTAAAATTGCCAAATATCCTTTCTTACAGAATCTCTGACTTGGTGGTGGAGGAGGAGGAAGAGTTGGCTTCAGCTGCACCGGGCGGGTGCAGGTTGCTCGGGAGAATAAGGGGCAGTTTGAATGGACGCCCCCCAGTCGGGTGGCCGGAAGCGGTGTCCCACTGTTGGGCCACGGGCTTGCTATGTCCACCACCGAGAAATCAGACGATGTTGCTGGGTTTTAATGATCACCTCACTTCCCCTCAGCTTATGGGAACAGATGAAATTCTTTTCTTCGCATTGCTTGAATCCGTTTTGATCATGATAATGCCTACTGCAAAATGGTGATGGCGAAGCTCGGCTGGCACCTCGTGTCTAGCAGTATGCATTATCTCGAAGGGAAGCTATGCACCACTGCTCTGTAGTATGCTTTTGCTTAGAAGTTTGGGTTTGGTTGTGATTTTTCTCCGGTTCGCTTTGGGTTTCGTTTTTAAACATACCACCACCACTTTGGTTGTAAAGATTTGATTCCTTCCTTTCAATGTACTTCTCCGTGGTTCCCTTCGTGGTCTCCCTTCAGGAAGGCCCAAGGAGCCATCTCGTAAACATGCAAGCCTTTTGATTAAATCGTACTGAAATCTTTCTTTCTGTTTAAGAGCCCTTCGATTCTGGTCCCATTAAACTCCAAGTGCCTTTTTTACAGTGACAGTATAAGACAGTCCCTCCCTCCCCCTCTTTTTGTTTGCATTTCGTACCGCCCTTAACTGAACTGCCTGGATTTTATAAATTTATGAACGTGTGCCCCTTTTCTTGAAACTGCATGTCGCCAAGTGCCCACGTGTCCTCCACATTCTCATGCGGTGCCGTGTGTGCTCTAGTTGCCATGTGTAAGGTGGGTTCTGTTTAGCTAAGATAGACTAGAGGGCACTTTAGAGACACTCCCTCCTCTATCCCTTTGGCCACTAGCCACCATTATGGTTGTGCTGGCTGTTTGTATATACGGTTACGTATCCACTCGGGAATCCTATGGGCTGATCTTGCTCACCAGACATGGAGTATGGACTGAGCAATGTGACTGAATGTGACTATCAAAAAAAAAAATCTTACATACTATCCAAAAGTGCCAGAATGACTCTTCTGTGCATTCTCCTTAAAGAGCTGCTTGGTTATCCAAAAATGAAAATTCAAAATAAACGCCGAAGAAAAATCTCTGTGTGTGACTTTTTTTTGCCCCAACAGTTTTATTGGCACATAATTAACATAGCATACCATTGAACGGTTCAATCATTCAATCAAATCAAGGGGAGTTGTACAATCACCACCACATCTACCTTAGAGTGGCCCCCACCCCTTTGCATGGTCACATCACCTTTAAACTGAGCTACGCAGTCACTGTGAGCTCCCTCCCACCCTCAATGTTCACTCCCCAAATCCTCCTATCCCTCCCATCGCCCATCCCCCACCCCTGCATTCCGCACAACACCTTGTATCAGTTATTATCATCATACACCCATTCCTCCAGTACTCCACCGGTGGGAAACCCAACAGAAAACAGTGCAAGATAAATCACACTAAAGTGGTAACGATAAGATCATATTAGTATAAAGGCAAATCGCAAATGATGCATAAGAGGGAGAAGACCCCCTCAATGTTCAAAGAACCAGGGACAAAATTTATGTCATGAGACATCTAGGAGATAGTTGCACACAGTACTAATTCAGGTCCTGTCTATAGGGGGGACAACTGACCTGATACCAAGTTCGATCCAGCATAATCAACATTCTAATGATCTCTGTCTAAATGGCTGCTTGTTTGAATACAAGCCTTTAAGACCCCAGACACTATTTTGATTGATAGCTGGGCACCGTCTGCTTTCTTCACCACGTTTTGCTGTAGCCACCCCACCCCCCCCACCATCAGTGATCATTGTATGAAGGTGAGCATCAAGCAGGACCATGATGCAAGAATCGAATGTTCTTAAATTGGAGCTAGGATTTGGTGCAAGCCCAGAACTCATTCCCGGATCAATTCTTTTTCTCTCTTCTTTTAATTTGCTGTAACTTGGAAATTAATACATATGCCATATCATTCCATAGTTCAATCATGTCAAACATAACTGTACAATTTCTTCCATCATCAGTCTCCAGACATACTTGTCCTTCGGGACTTCTTGACGTCGATGCCTTCTGAGCTATTCTTTTCTTTCTTTCCAAAGCTGTTCTTCAGAATCGGTAGTTGATTCCTGGGCTGCCTGAACCGTGGGATGCTGGAGTTTTGTTTGACCACAGACACCCAGGCATTTACAAGGTGCTAAAAATCTGTACAGCCCCCAGTGGCATGGCACTGTTGCGGTTCATGTGTTTCATGTGGAGAGATGCCGGCGCCTCACCTGAAACAAATGTTGCCTTTTGTTTCCATCGTATCTGCTGGGGCACAGCCTCAGGAAGTTCTTACTTAAACTGACCCAGAACCACCTGAGATCCAGGAAACAGCTCATCGCAATGATTCATGGAAGATACCAAGGCACAGAACAGATTGGCAAAAAAATTAATTCAGCTCACCTCAGTGGCACTGCAGTTAAAACACTTGGCTGCTAACTAAATAAGGTCAGTGGTTACAACTCCATGAGAGAAAGGTGTGGATACATCTGCTTCCATAAGGATTTATAGCTTGGGAAACCCAATGGGGCAGTTCTCTGACCTACAGGGTCGCCCTACTTCAGAGTTGATCCAATGGCAGCGGGTTGGATTCTTTGGTTTGGTTTAAGGCGCCCTGGTGCTGTCGTGGGTGGTGCTGTGTTGGGCCGCTAACCACAAGGCAACCACGTGGTTCAAACTCACCAGGTGCTCCGTGAGTAAAAGATGAGGCTTTCTGCTCCTGAGATTTATAGCCTAGAGGGTCGCTATGGGTTGCTTGCAATAACGGCTTCCTTATAAAATCTTTATTCATGAATTCTGTGCGTGCAGAAAATGAATCAAGTTGGTTTTTTAATTCTCAAATGCTGATGTTTTAATATTTATTTTTAAGGAGAAAAATGATTGTGTGGCTCTCTACAGTGCGGTAGAACAGGTTGAGTCTGGGAGAGCATGTTCTCACCCATAGGTGGCAGATGAGCCCTGCCAGACTTCTCAAAAGGCTGACAGATAAAACACATGTAAACTACCCTGAATTTTGTTGTTGTTAAACTGTCTCTCGAAGAATAGCCCAGGCCAGACCTGGTGACTGTGGGAGTGCAGAAAGAGCCTCCTGCAGCATTGGTTGGTCCTGGGCCTTCCCTGCAGCATGGCTCACGGTGGCTGCCAGTGGATGTATCTTTAAAGCGCTGCTTCCAGAAAAACCTGGTTTGACCCATGCTGCCTGTGAAAACGGAGCCCTCAAGGAGATAGCACAACCTGTTAACGCGCACTACCGCTAACTGAAAGGTTGGAGATTTGAGCCCACCCGGAGGTTCCTCAGCACCTCTGACAATCGAGCTTGTGACATTCCGACGACAGGCATAAAAGAGGGGCCCAATTCTACTGCAACTCGCAATGGGTCTTCAGGAGTCCAAATGAGTCAGAATGGACTCCAATGGACGTGGGTTTGGACCATGACTGCATTCTTAAAACATTTCATTTCCCTCCTCTCTTTTTTTTT